AAAAATGTTTTGGAAAAGGTCAGAGATTTAAACAAAACAATTTAGAGCCTAAATTTAATTTAAGTAATAATAATAATAATATTTAAGACAGTTACCCACGGCATTACATGAATACTAGAAGTTAGTAATTAAACATAACTTTTTTAAAATATTTAAAATATATGCAAATATTCTTCCTATTTTTACAACAAATTTTTTAGTTAAATTCCCTTTTTTCTAAATACTTTACCTACATTTTTCCCCAGTGTAATCATCCTTTATCTGACGTCAAGATGCGGACGTACGTAAAGTGCGTAAATGTGCGTGTGTCCCGCATTTAATGCGGTCTGCCTTGGCGATAAACTTTTGCAGCTGTCTCGGGCCCACTTCCCAACCAAAAAAACCGAAAAAAAAATCACCAAACCAACCCCCATTGCCACACCCCCTTTTATTTGGCATTTTTTGGATTGCCGCCTTCCGTTTGGCTCAATCATTTTACGTCTCATAAAACATAAATAGCAATCGATTCGTGAAGGGGTCCCTTTTGCAGTCTCAAGTCTCCGGATCTCCGACACTGTCATTGTTTCGTCGGCGACAATTTGAATTATCCCGTAGCAGAGATAAAGCCCAACAAAAATATATATAAAAAACGTAAAAACACACCTCGATGTTGGCATACTCTTTACTCTTTCTGAAAGCTAAACAAATTTCGGTTTATTATTTGAACGATAAATAAACAAAGTGAGTTTTGTGTGCAATTTTTGTAAAATCATTCTCTCGTTGTTAGACTTTGACCGTGGCTGATTTTAAAACAAAAATATATGTACTTGTTTGTTTAAGAACTTTGAACTGCAGTTCAATTTATTGTATTTTTTAAAATTTTATTTATTTATATAATGCTAGCTTTTATGGGGAAGCAAAAGGCCGTTAAAATTTGCCTGATTCTATGTAGTGACCAGAATTCGGGGGGTTTTGGTTTTTAAATGAACTAGAATTTACTTTTAAGCAGATAGTTCTTAAAAATTTAGAGAGATTATATTGATGGTAAGAACAACAATACAATTTTTTAATTTATGAATAGTTAGCGCTTAAAAAGCTTCGAAATATTTGACTGTAAAATAAAAAATATAATTAATTCTTTGCAAATAAATTTATTGTGAAGAAATAAGATTAAATAATATAAGGAATAACTTTTAATTTTATAGGTTAATTTATTTGAGTAATAAAAAAATTGTTGTATATGGTTCATATTTTATTTCAAAGATTTTAGATGATATTTTAATTTGATAACTAACCAGAGGGATTTACTAAGATTTTGTAATGTTTAAATATTCCTAATTATTTTTAAAAAATTATTAATTATATAAAAAATAAAACTCGATGGCCATAGTCATTATAACTTATTTTTAAAATTTACCAAAAATAAATATTGAAATAAAAAATCATAAAACCAAGCTTACAGCTTAGCCAAGGTAGTCTGAAAAAGGATATCGTCTGTCAAGGTTGCTCTCTGTGTGTTATCCAGGAATCCAGCCTGCTTGTCCTTGTTGTTGCTGTTGTTGTTGTTGTTGTTGTGTGCTTACTGGTTGCTCTCCAGGGCAACATTTGGCGGTTACTTGGCCGCGGGCTGGCTAAAGTCTATAATGCAGCATTATTTTATGTCGAGCCAAGCAATTTATTGAATTTTTTTCTCCTACGTTGAGCTTTTTGTTTCGTTTCTGTTTCGACGTTTTTTTTTTGGGTACCAAATGTGTTGAAGTATTTTATGGGTCTTTTGGGCGAATATCAATAAATTTTTAATATGATAAAGTGAGTTAAATGATGATTGAAATCGAGCTTTGAATTCACATTGCTTATCCAGATCAGGTTTTGCTCAGCTCTGGGAGTTGTCCTGTTCATTTCTCCAGGACTTTCACTGCACAAATTGAATTCAGTTCTCTTTCTTTCAGTCTGTCTGTAGTTTACTTTGCTTTTCTTGTGGCCTTTGTGCCATGCTGTCCCTTTTTGTACGCTCTCTGCCATCTGCCATTTGCGATTTGCCATTCGCCATTTTGCCATTTGCATTTGGCTAGGAAAAGCGATAAGAAAAATGCAATTCCCACTACACACAGACGCACACATGTGACAAAGCATCAGAGGGAAAGTGGAAAAGTGGGGGAGCTAAGCTGCTTAGTCCTGGCTGAGCAAAAAGGAGAAAAGGGAAAATAGAAAAAGAAAGAGTCGCCAAATTCAATTGACGTTGACCAAATCAAATCAAAGGCGAATCATTGCCAACTGCCACTAAATTTCGGTGATTTCGACATGCAAATTTAAACGAAATATTTAGCCAGCCATCAGGCAATGAATTAGGTACAGAAAACACTGGGAAAAACTAGGTGTAGGTGAGGGGAAATATAAATAAAGGATTTAAAATCAAATAAAAAGAAGTTATAAAACTTTGACAATCAAAATAATTCAAATGAGATAGTTATTAGCTCTTATTTAATATTATTTAAAATATTTTTCCTTAATTATTTATATTGTTAATTATTATTTAAAAATTGCTTAACAGTCTTTGAATGTAATGTTAAAACCTATAAAAAAAAGGTTCATTTACACTTTTAATTTACTTTTTAATTTATAACCCACAAATAGTATACAATTTTAAAATTAATTCTATTTTGTTTAATTTTTTTCAAAGAACATTTCACTTTTATTTTTCTCAGTGCATTACCGTGTTGATTTAGATTTTCTGTTGGCTTTGGGGGTCGGAAAATGCGGGTCGGTTGAGGCGTATCTGTCATACAAGTTTAATTGGCTAAAATTTCAGGCTTTATCTTCTCCGCTGCTGCCGCCTATACGCCCATACATTTAATTACTACACCGTTGGCAATAATTTATAATACTAATTAAAATTTCGAACACGCACACACACACGCACTCACACACACACACACTCACACACACTGACATAAATAATCACTGGAGAATGGCAAATGCGCCGCCGGCATTGAAAATTTTCATTTGCATGCAGACAACAATCTCACACAAACACAAACGTATACTACGTGTGTATTTGCAGGTGTGCTGGCTGGTTTATGTATGTGTGAGTGTGCAACCTTTATCAATCAAATGTTAATTAAGTTTCAACTCAGGCAACCGAACAAATGCCAAACCAACTAACAAACCAACTTTTTCGCTGAGGCTTTTCCGTCGCGAAAGCAACGAATTTTACGTTGAAAAATTAAATTGGTTTGCTTGGCAGAGAGTTTAGGTAAGAGGGGGGGGAAGGTGTGGAGCAGCCAGGACCTCTTCCTCTTAGCCATTTGCAAGTTATTACGCATACGCCCTGGCAGCCCGTGGCATATAAAATGCAAAAGTAATGCGCTCATCAAATAAAATTACCCAACTGATGCTCAAACTCAACAGAAAAAATTACAACAAAAAATAAAGAACAGCAAACAAACTATATAAAAAAAGAAGGAAAATATATGCGTAACAGGAAATGCTTCTCTGCCTGCTATCCTTTTCTCCCTTTTTCACTCTTCACGATATTGTCTGACTTGTTTGTAATGGTTTTTTGGTTAGCATGCGCACAGATTGATGAGTGGCCAAATTGTACACAGCCGCAAATTGTGGCAATTTCGGTTACTGTCAACGCTATACACACACCCGCACGGGTAAACCAAACACGTACAGGATGCAGAGAGAAAAATTATGGAGATTTTATTACATTTTAAATTATATTTTCATTGAAGAGAATAAGTATTTGTAAATGTTAAGATTTTTAAGGGATGCAAAATGGTTTTGGTTGCATTTTCTTGTCTTTTTCCTTCATCTTAGATTTTAAATAAATATTTATATTTAATTTTTAAGCCAGGTAATAATTTAATTTGAGTTCGTGAAGTTTATATAGATTTTCAAGAAATATTTTCATTTTAGGAAAACAGAATTTCTTAACTTTAAGCTCAGTAAAAGATTCAACAAAAGTTTTTGCTATATTTCATTGTACAATTCTTCATTTTACATATACTTTTGTTGGCCTTTTATCTCAATAGTACCTTAATTTATTTTTACAGCTTATTAAACATATTTCTAAAGATCCAAAATGATAGAAAAAAATTATATATATAATATATTCCCTAATTAAGTACTGTTTATTATTTCCATTTCTATATAACTATTTACCAATTTTTCTCACATTTCCTTGTTGATAATCCCTTCAAATATTTTTCTAAAATTTTATTATTATTTATTTTATTTTATTGTATTTTTCTATTTCATTTATTTTCAGTGTACAAAGGCGTAAGCATGTGGCAAATGTGCAGGCACGTTTTTATATTGCAGCCGGCAGGGCAGGGCACAGCTTGTTTGCATGCCAACAAGGAGCGGCAGGCAAAACAGAATCAGAAACAGGACCAGAATCGGGAGAGCTTGAAGCTGGAACAGGAACCAAAGCACCGAGAGGCTTTCACATTCACATTCAGACGGAGTCAGGCTCCATTGCGGTTTGCACAAAACTCGGAAGAGGCGGAGGAAGGTAGGTCGCCGGGGGCATCGTCATCCCAGCAGGAAGTTGTCCAGGACACCCGCATTCCGTTTAGACCTTGGGCAGCTGCATTCCCATGCAAGAGTTTTTAGCATTTTCATTCAGCATTTTCCCTCTTACAAAAAAAAACGAAAAATTGCAAGACTAAAACACCGGCATTTTTGTGGCGTTTTTATGATTGTTTTTGGCAGAGGGAGAAAGAGGGAGAGACTGAGGTTTTGCGGCGTGGAAAATTAAGCATACGCATAAGTCCATATGATGTACAACTTGAATTTTGAATAATTTAAATTACTCAGCTTATTCAAATTATTTAAAATTTAAATTATACATGGCAGTGTATTATAACTTTAGTTAAAAGCTAATAATGCAATATAGGAATCATTTCCGACCCTAGAAATCATAATCGATTATAAACAACAGGTAAGAATAGGCAAAATTTTCAACAATTTTTAAGGGGTTACAACTTTAAATATCATAAAAAATCATAAGCAATTCTAAAAGTACAGCCTTTACATTTGATTCCCAAAAACCCCAGAGGATTAAATATCCGAAACGTGACATTTGAGGGGAAGAGAGAAAACTTACCGCAATGAAAATTCACAGGCTTTGTCTATTTTTATTTCACTTCCTTTTTTGCACAAAGTTTCAAAGAAAGTTTTTCGCGCAAGGTTGCCATGCCATTCGATTGGCTTTACATCCCGAAGCCACCACCCTTTCCTCTTTCGATTGTGTCACACAGGGCGGATGCTTGACGTGACGTGCGCCTGGCTGCTGCTGCAAAACGGTAACTGCAATTTGATAAAGCAAAGTGACAAGTGCAGCCGACCAAAAGGTCAACCCACCACCACCCCCTATTTCTCCTCTCCTCTCGTCCTCTCTTGGCCATTTGCAACTGACAGAAGTCAGCGGGAAAGGCGACAGCCAAGAGCGTGTGAGGGAAATCGCTTGGCGTGCGGAGCGAACATCATTCTGAAAGCACATCAGGTAATCCCCCTTATTAACGCGTTGTCACACTAGCATTGCGTTTTATATATAACATATATACTCTTTAACTTTTTTTAGTTTTCCTTCAAAAGCAGCTCAATGTCATCTACCAGAGCTGATGGCTCCTGCTTGGGTCCATAGCGTTGGTATACCCTGCCCTTTCGATCCACCAGAAACTTGACAAAGTTCCACTCGATCTCAGGCTGCTGCAGGGTTAGCATTTTGTAAAGGGGATCTGCTTCCTTACCCTTTACCTTTATCTTTGAGAAAATGTGTCCTATGTTGGCGCCCTCCTTGCGCAGATGGTCTAGGATCTCCTGGCCATCAGACTCGGGCATCTGGAAAAGGATTATATATATTTATGTATTTAATAGTTTCCCCGTACCTGGAGGCTATATTCACAATGAGCAACACCTGACCCTGGAATACCCTTAGGTGCACAGGCTTGCCATAGGTATCCTTTACCGTCCGCGAGTAAATTGTGTGCTGCCAGCGCATGTCCTCCAGATCCTTCTTCAAGCCCTGATGGGTCAGCAGAACTGTGACCAAAGTCAAGGGCACCATTAGGCCATAAAAGCTCGAATCTGTACTCAGCATCTCGATTCGCTACTAACTACTAACTGAATTTGTTGGCTGAAGCCACGCTTTGGGCCAAAATCGATTCGTTGAGCTAATTGTGCGTGAAGCAACGCTGGAAAATCGCATTTAAATGTCCACAGAGTTGGACATATGTTGGAAAAAAAGGGAGAACACTGCTGTTGAAAAAAAAAAGAAACTCAACTGAAAATGGGGCAGCCAAAATTGAATTTGGGCCAAAACGAGCGAAAGTTGCATGCAGGCGAGTTGCACGTTAACTTAATTCTCAACTTTTTGCTGCCCTGCGACTCTGGCCTGCCACTTGAAATGGGAACACCGCCGCACCGCACACACACACACACACACACTGAAAACAACACAAAAGTTGAACAATCGTAACGAAATAATTGAATTTTCATTTCCGTTTTATGTGTTTACTTCCGCTTCCATGGCCGCGCCGCCATTTTCTTTGCTCTCACCCTCTCTACTCCCTTTTATATCCCCTCGTATCCTCGCATGTATGTCGGCCTATTTGTATACAAAAGGCAGTCAATTTCTGCCAGCTTGAGGCAACTTTTTAAGTCAATTGTCAAAAAGTTTTTAACATCTTTTCCCGAATCCCCCCCCCATTCCCCTTCTCTCACTCTATTTTTTGTTTCATTTTCGCTGCCAAATTGAAATATAATTCGGTAAAGTTTCGGCTTTTCCACTTATACGTTGTTTTGGACGCCAGGACGTGGGCCATAAATCAATGGCAGGCAAAAGGCGTTCGACTGAAATTGATTTAGATTTCGGTTGTGGAGGTGGGGGCGTGGTCCCCGGGCATAACTCCTTTAGTCGTCTGTCAAAGCCCGCGGCAGTGCAGTGAAAACTGTCCGGGATGTCAGTGTAGTTTGTAGTTTGATTGAAGCTCTCACATCTGCAGGTCGATTTCCACACAGCGAAAAACTCACAGAACTTTCTATTAAAACACTAAATTAAGCTCTCTAAAAGAAGAGTACCTCTGCTAAGTAAACAAGTTATTCTGATATACAACAGACTCATCACTTAAAGCTATAAAAACTCCATCGTAAACGCTAGAAATTTCAAACAAAATTTCGATAAAATCAGCATAGAATGATTGCCAACCCGTCCAAATGGCGATAACCAGCGATTATGCCAAGAGACATGGATGTACCAGAATGATGAACTTTGGCGGTTTTGCATATTTGATGCACTCGACATAAACTTAATAAACCTTTGGCCCCCGCCAGTAGTTACAGGTTATAAAACCCGCGGTGCGCGCATTCTCTAAACTCGTAAACGAGGGAAAGGCGTTAAAGTCGCCGAACCACAACTGGTTGTTTTTATGGCCAACTCCATGGACGACCCCGTAATGCCATTTTCCATTTTCCATCTGGTTTTCTGTCTAAGCGTTTGCAGCAATCATTTCGCCTCTTGGTGCATCATTTTTCACTATTAACCCGAGTGGGAAAACGTGAACTCTGTGCCATAAAAGCAGCGTTTGTGCCAATAAAAATTTTTGACATGTGACTGCTGTGCGCTGTGAGTTTTTTCCACCAACTACCGTTTGGGCCAGGTGTACGGCTAACCTTTAGCCTTGACGGAGGAGAGCTCACCTGTACTGAACTGCTGCTCCTGCATCTCCACTTGTCATTTGCCACTTGCCACTCGCTACTGCCACTTGCGCATTTAATTAAGTTTACGCCGCGCTGCACACGCAAAAGGACGAAGGACGTTATTAATTAAATTCCTTTATACACAGGTTAAGCCAGTGCCACCCCCTCTTCGTCTGCTTCTTTTGTGTGTCAACAATTGGAATATTAACGAGGCAACTAATGAAAGTTTACAAAGGCAAACACACACAAACCGCGGCGGCCAGAGTGTTTCTCACCTCGAAATCGAAAGCGAAACATTTAATAAGAGTCGCTGTCTCTGATTCTGGCGAAAAAGATCAAAGGTATTGGCTGGAAAGGAGGGTTCTCTTACCTTTTTGACCCACAGGGCGTATACGTGATATTTGGAGGGTGAGGAATATAGATGGTATAGATCGTCTGGGGTGCTTAGTTTTTGCGTGTGCAATTTATTTTAGATTAAGAAAGAGTTAAACATTTTCACACACAAAATAACTTATCATTTTTACTAAATAGAAACCCTAAAGCCCTTGGAAAATTCCCAAGACGTCTTCAAAAATAGTACAAAAAACCAAATAGAGCTTAGAGAGTGAAAGCATTTATCAAGATTTCAACCAAGATCAAAGCCATCGCCGCGGCGCGAGACCTCTCACCTCTGTCCGCCTTGACCCAACCCGGCGTATGAGTGATTTTTCGTGAAGGGCCCAATTATAGTCGATCGCCTTGGGAGAGTCTGTCTGCGTGTAAATCCCACTGAGCTGATGCTGATGAAGCTGATGCACTCCGGAGTAGGGTCCCTGGACCCCTAATAAGCCAACCAGCACATCAAAGGCACACACACCCACTCAAACACACACACACACACTCGCAGAGAAAAGTCATAACCCAGACGCTCAGACACATATGCAAAGGGGATATGTGTATTACCCTTACGTATTTAAGCCGCTTGTCGAACGCGCAAATCCAGTAGGGGAAAATCGACTTTTATTCAATATACACTCAAAAAATCAACTCGAGAAAAAAAGGGGGTGCAGTGAGGTTGAGGCAGATATGGCAGCAATATGCGAGTATAAATGTGCAAATCCCCCAGTGCAACAGCAACAGCTGCTGCTGCTGCTGCTGCTTTCCCTTTCCACCCTCTCTGCATTCGCTGGCATTTACATTTAAGCTGATAAGCAAAAGTGCCTTCTACCTTCGCCTTTCCCCGCATTTTCCCCAGATTTTCTCCCACCTGAGCGTTAAGTCTTGAAGCCTTGAAGTGCGCCCACACACACACAGACACTCCCACTCGTGTGCCTACATATATTCGAAGCGCAAAGAATTGTTTGCCGAGAATGTCGCAAGTTTATGAAATCGCGTGAGCTGGCAGCCAGGAATTTACATTTGACGCACGCACTTTACATTATTAATGCCGCGAGCAGAGGCAGAAGCAGCGAACAAAAAACAAAACCAAAAACTCAAGTTTCAAGAGTCTCCAGACTTTTGATTCAAAACATAAATACCCTTGGCTTTGTTTTGTAATTTGAAGAGTTGGGTAAAGGCTTTAAGGTATGTTGAAAGGGTTTAAAAAAAGCCAAAGGGATATTTTTTACAGATTTTTATAATAGTTTAAAAGTGAAATAAACTACTCTTTAACTTCTTAAAACTAAAAACTCCCCAAAAAAGGTTCAACTTAAAAAAGAGTATAAAAATTAGACCAAGTAAATGGGTATTTCCCTGTGTTTACAAGTGTGTGTGTGGGTGTTATTTTGGGGTGGGAAAATGCTTCAGCCATTTCGCAAATGTATCGCATTTCCGAATGTGTGTTTGAATTTTTACGCTTCGCTGGGAATTTTCCAATTTTTGCTGCTAATATTTATTAATCAAGTAATAGCTACACTTGAGTGTGTTGTGTGTGTGTTCGCTTGATTTTTGCACGAAAAATTGATTGGAAATTTATAAGCTAAACTTTTTCCACTGTTTGCTTTTGTTTGCGGCTCACGAAACAAACTTTTTTTCAATGTTGGTGTGCGGTTTTCCCTTCGTTTTTTTTTTTACATTTTGTTGGCTGCCATTTGCAGCACTTGAAAAGGTCGCCACAGATGGCAATGTATGGAAAATTTTTCAAATATTGAAATTCAATTTTTCTCTATATTTTTTTAGGGCTCTCAGTAACCTTTGGCAGCTCCCCTAGATGTCAGTCAAAGTCCGGCTAGCAAGGCAGGAAACGTTTTGAATCATTCTCAGTACTAACCTTGTGTGGTGAACACCAGCCTCTCTTAAATAAAAAAAATATATATTGCAATAAAAAGTGAGTTTTAGAAAGTGAAAAAAAAGTATACCAAAAAAAGAACTACTATTTTCAATCGACAATAATTGTAAGCAATTTCTCGACATTTTGTGTCTTCCACAGCCTTGTCCTTTGACGAAAAGCGAATATTATATTTGCAAAACCAAAGCCTGATAATGAATGAAATGAAAATGATGAAGCTGATGATTTTTGGGTGTAAGTATGACAAAAGATTGAAGTTACCGCATATCTATTAACCCTCCCTTTCCTCCCCCAGTTAGCCTTATGCTACTTATGCAGCCTGGTCTAGGCAATGTCCTTCCATTTTTCTCAATGAATTTGATTAATGCCACTGATGCTACTGCCGGAGGAAAGGCTACCAATGGCACCACCGCTGCCATCACCACCATCACCACCACCACTCCCATTGTCACCACCATAAAGCCCATGACTACAGATAAAACAACCAAGAAGGAACAGCAGACTACCACCACTACTGCACCCGGAAAAGCAACCACTACCGCCGGTCCCCATAAGGATCTGGGTTATATGGGCTACATGGACAGCCTGTTTAACTTGGAAAATTCCATGAGACGCAAATACCAGAAACGTCGCGCTCACGGTGCTCCACCAACCAAGGCTCCACTGGGTGGCAAAATTTTGGCCCAGCCGTTCATGTACTACAACATGGCACCACCTCGAATGGAGGCGGCCAGAATTGACCTGGAGCTAAGCTATAAACCATCGCACAAAATGCATGAATTGGCCAAGGAGGTAGGTGATGGTAATGGTGGTGGTGTCCCCTCGAAGCACCACAAACCCACTCTGCCGCCGTTGATCGAAATGTTGAGCAAGCCGCAGCAGCACCCGGACATGCCCCCGATCATGGAGTTTCTGCACGGCATCGTGGACTTGGTTATCAACAGCAGCAGCAGCAATGTCAAGGGTGGCAATGAATCAAAGCCGGTGGGTTACTTCAACAAGACCATCTCTCCAGATGGCAAGCATTTGCTAAAGGAGTTTGGACTGCTCTCTCCCAACATGAAGATCAAGGGGATCCAGCAGGAGACCAACTATGGAATTCCCTTGGATCAGGACACCTACGAGGCCTTGCAGGAGGTTTTGGGACCAGCTTTCAAGCCGATAAAGATGTCAAAGAAAGGGGAGCAGCAGCAGCAGCATCACCAGCTGAAGCAGCAGCATTTCAAGGAGTTGCAGCATCTGAAGGGGTTGCAGAAGCCAAAGAAGCAACAGCATCGCCGCGAACCTCAGCTGGGAATGTATCCCGATTATGAGTTGTTACCTAGCGGCATTGACATGGCCTTGCGCAAGAACTATGAGATGATTGACCGCCTACTGGATGATCTTGAGCAGGAGGACGACTTGTTGCAGGTGATCAAGGATGCTACTAAGCAAATAACAGACCAAACAATCCAACTGACCAACGTCTTACAGAAAAAGAACCATCAGCCCACGGAGGAGCTCATCGTGAGCTGTCCAATTCACCATGAATTCCATGCCGATCGCTTTGGCGATGTAGTCGAGGAGGATGTGGTCGATGTGGGCGAATGCGAGGCAGTCAAGATTCAGGATTAATCGAGGGGGGCTTAAGGGATATTAACATAACTTTCCATTCACGGGTTTTCTCACGGGTTTTCACAAAATTTGTTAGGTTTCCTTTTGTTTTTCTCAACGGTTTTCATAGCCCCAACTGCCACCCCCTCCAATTGTTTTTCTTTTTCGGTCAGACAAGGGGAAAGTCGGCCTTAAATTGTTTGCGTTTATTGAAGTTTTAAATAATTTTTGGGATATTAACAAATTAAGTTTAAAAGGGAGCGCTAAATAAATTAAATACACACACCCAACTGGTGAAGATTTTTTTTAATGGGAGAAGATTATAAAGATAATCCTTAAACCTGAAATGTATTTCAAAGCTGGGAATTTCCCTAAGAAACTGCACTTCCGCCTTAACCTTGATAGAAACTGTTGTAAAGCTCACAAGGTTGCATAATAAATAAACCAACTCTCTCTTTCTAGGAAAAATATCAAACTTTCGTTCCAATCGACACTGGCTCCCTTGGGTCCGCTTCATCCTGCTTTTTGTTCCCTTGAAGTTCACTTCGCTTCGCCTTCGTTTTCATTAACAAAATCGATTTCCTACCTTGAAATGTCCTGCGGGGGAAGCTGGGTAAAATTGATATGCCGAGTGCGACAGTGCAGCCAAACGAGCAAACAAATCCAACAGGAGGCTAAGGACGAGGCATGTAAAGGTTGTAAGGATGTAAGGATGTAAGGATGTGGAATGGAGCCGAAAGGCACAAGTTTCTGCCGGCTGGCAGTGGCACAGAGCCACAGCTAAATGCTGCTAATTTCGTATACAATAAAACTAATGTAAATTGCCACTTGACGTTCACTGGGCGTGCAAGTGTGTGCCAGAGTATGTGCGAGTGTTCGGGGTGTGTGTGTGTGTGTATCACATAGACATTAAATGGGGCACATAATGTGCTGGGAGTCAGGAATCCAAGAACTGAGAACGGAGAACGAAGAGCTGGGAACTGACAAGCGAGAACTGAGCCCTGAGAGAAGTCACTAGCCCGAGCTAGTGTCATGGGTGCTGCTCGACCATCAACATAAATACAAATTTGCTTCACAAATCCAAGTATATAATCTATATAAACTGCAGGGAGAGAGTGCCAGCTAGTACATCTACATGTGTGGAAAAGCGGAAAAGTGCAACGCAGCATTCGTAAAATTGCGTAGCTTGGTAAGACTTTCAAGAGGCACTGGGAAAAATGAACAATAAAACAAGGATTTTGTTAGAAAAATGTAGATGAAAGTAAAGAAATTAAAGAACAAGGCCTAAGAATTTATTTTTATATTATAAAAAGCTGTTTATAAAACATTAAATGTGCCTGAAATTAAAGCTTACAGTTCGAAATAATACAACTTTAAGAATTTAAACCAACCTTGTTTCTTTTTTCTTACAATCTCCCCTTAAATAAGGCATAACTTTATAGCAAAACATTAACTATAATGACAGCCATTGGAACAAAATCTTAAGCTGACATTTCCTTTGCCCGGTGCACTCGATGGCACTGCCAATGTCCCTGGGGTGTTAACTGGAGTGTAAATGCGAATGTATGTGCAATTCATGCTGGTAAGTGACCAGGCTCCCCCTTGTGCCAGCCACTATTCACCCTCGCATTTATATTTATTTACAAGTGTAAATAATAAATATACTGGCTGCCATCCAAGGTTCTTCCATTGAAAGTGCATTAACTTTCGTCATACATAGTAGTATTGGGGGTCTTTAAAATCGTAATATAAATAAAATGTCCTGTTTTGACATTTTCAAGGAGATTCTTCGACGAGGCTGACAGGCAGACAGACGGCGACCACTTTCGCTAATCTCTTTGCTTTTGGAAATTTATGGCTTCATTATGAGGACGAACAAAGAAGACGACGACGACGACAAGGAGCGTTGCCAGGACATTGCCACTCTTCGGTCAGTCATCCTGTCATCCCTGGCTCCTTGCCGTTCTACTTGTTGTTGTTGTTGTTAATGTTATGGTTGTCATTTGGCAGCTTGTAATTACGTTCGCCACAAGTTGTTGGCAAAAGTTGTAATCTAGATTTCATAGTCCAAAGGCGACAAGCAACAGCATCAAATTCAATTGAACTGTTTGAGTCAGCAAAAGTCAAATCAAAAGGATACGCTGCCTGGGTCCTTTTAAAGTGCCATTAAAGTTGGCAAAAGTCTGTAGGACATCAAGGCTGTGTCTGTGTGTGTGTGTGGGTGGGAGAAATTCTAGGGAAAATTACTGGCATATAAATTGCAAAATCATTTTTATCTCCATCCTTAAATTAACTCACAATTTCCTCCCGAGTTTAACTAGCCTGGCCCATTCGTTGGCTTGAAAGTGCTTAATCCCTAATTCAATGGCCATAAATTTTCCAATTATTCATTGACTTTGGAATGTGACTAATTTAATCGGAACTTGAACCTGTTGCGCTAGTTGGGCCTTCATTTTGGGGTGGTTTAATTAAATAACTACATATTTCGGCTTATTTCAATTGTTGGAGAGCTTAAATTTATTTATGTTTATTGCTAGTTATTTGGTTTTAATTTTCTGCTTAATTTATGGGGTTTTTAATAGAGAAAAACTATTGTAAAATTAGTGGTTTATTTTTATGTTAATAGAAATTAAGGTATTTAGTATTAAAAACTAATTGTTTGTTATTAATTATATAATTATTCTTAGCTCCCCCAAAAGAGCTGCTTATGCTTAACCCAAAAAACTCTCACCTTTAATCTAGCTTAAATTTCTCCTAGCAAAACCCCTTAAATATTCATTAGCCAATTAACCTGGCTCAAAGCCCGTGAAATGTTCAATATTTAAGAGGCCATCGTTTAACTTTCAGCCTCGAATCCCGGCCCCTCTCCTCGCCACCTATTTTATTTTTTGTTCTTACTCCACACCGTTGGCCCTTTTGCGGCTATCATACATGGCGTATGCGACATGTGACAACAGAATTATGCAAATTTCAGTGTCACCTTCAATTGCATACCAACCGCACAGCACATGCCACACACTCGCCGCACACACGCCGCAAAAAACACACACCGGCAAAGCCAAGAGTGACGGCGGTGGAAAAGCGTTGATTATTTTGCTTGCCAAGAGCCCGGAGCCCGGAGAGTGGGTGTGTCTGTGTTTCGATAAAATAACTCAAATACTCGCTGAGCAATGCAGCGTAAAAAATCAATAAACAAATAAACAAACAGCACGAGCACACATACATCAAAGCGGCTTAAATGCAAGAAAAAGTCTATTTAAATTGTCAACACAGAACCTACTCAAGTGGAGTGTGTGTCCTTAAAGTGTGCGTGTGTAATTGAGTCATGTGTTTGTTGCTATTGTTTCCTAAGTCAAATTTATATCAACGCACTTTGCCAGTATTGCAAGCTAGTAAAACCGCAAAAACAGAGGAAAACTTCCACAGGCAGTGTTGCGTGCAAGTTTTACAAGTGAAAAACTTTGCTGTCAGAGATACTTTATGTGCAAATTTTTGGTTTGGCAAGATACACAATTCCCCACAGAGACGCACACTGGCACCACACACACACACCCTATACACTCTGCTACATGGTCAGCAATTTTGCTTGTTGCCGTTGTCAGCTGACAAGTCATTTGCATGCACACACGCAGCATTCGAACAAATACGCAAACAGAGCCCCCCGAAAAAATAAGGGAAAAAAAACCAAGCTGAGAAAATACCCACAAAAAATGCCTTCGAGTTGAAACAACAAATATAGCAGAAACTGGACTGCAACAACTTCTGCAACAACAACAACAAATCGGCCACACCCCAGTTAGCATATAAATCACATTGTAAAAGACAAATTGAAAGATGTTGCTGCGGGCCAGTCGCCTGTCGTTGCCCCAATCCCATGCAATTAACATGCGCACACACAGAGAGAGAGAGTGCATTTAAAGGTCTATGCCAGGCCAACCAGGCCTCCTTCACTCTTAGATATACCCAAAAAACACACACAACAGAGTGTACTGTGGGAAAAAGGTACAAGACTTTATGGTGTATCGTTTTCTTAAGAGTTTTCCTAAATAAAACTTTAAGGAAAAAAGGAAATCATTGGTGACATTGTTACTATGAAATAGTTGTTGTTGTTGTTAATCAAAGAAAACTATAAGATATAGTATATATATAAGAATATTGCCTTCAGTATTATATTGAAATATCATATTTCGAATATAGAATTTTATTAGAATTTAATTATAATTTTATAATTTTATATAGAATAATAATTTTATTAGAATTTCATAAGAATTTTATTAGAATATCATTATAATTTTATTAGATTTTTATTAAAATTTAATAAAATTTTATAAGATTTTCTTCGAATTTTATTATAAATTTATTAGAATTTTATTAGAATTATATTAAAATTTTATACGAATTTTATTAGAATTTTATTAGAAATTTATTAGAATATTAATTGAATTTTATTAGAATTTCATAAGAATTTTATTAGAATTTTATTAGAAATTTTTTAGAATATTATTTGAATTTTATTAGAATTTCATAAGAATTTTATTACAATTTTATTAGAGTGTTATTAGAATTTTATTAGAAATTTATTAGATTATTATTTGAATTTTATTAGAATTTCTTAAGAGTTTTATAGGAATATTATTTGAATTTTATTAGAATTTCATCAGAATTTTATTAGAATTTTATTAGAGTGTTATTAAAATTTTATTAGAATTTTATTAGAAATTTATTAGAATATTATTTGAATTTTATTAGAATGTTATTAGAATTTATTAAAATTTTATTAGAATTTTATTAGAAATTTATTAGAATTTTATTAGAATTTTATTAGAATGTTATTAGAATTTTATTAGAATTTTATTAGAAATTTATTATAATATTATTACAATTTTATTAGAATTTTATCTATTTTTTTTTTTAATTTTATTTAAACTATATATTTATATTTCTTTTTTATTATTTATATTTAAATTAATTTCAAACCTAAGAAACAAACCCATATTCAAAGATTTTGATTTGTTACATCTTTCTCTTAACCATTCCCCAAGCTCAACCTAATTTCCATCAAATCTCAAGCCATTCCTGTGTTGCTTCCCCCTTTAAGACACGCCCATGTAACCCGGCAAATGATGAACTACCCGGCCCGACTGGGGCACTTAACTAACCCCCGCAATGTCCCCTTTAGCCCCCAATGAGAGCAACAATTAAATGTCAAGTCTCCTGATTAATCCTAATGCCAGGCAGCCAGGCAGGCAGGCAGGCAGGATCCCGGGCAAGGGGAAACTCCTAGATGACCACAGTGTTGTCAGGCCGACTACGTTGTCTCCGTGGAAATTGAATTTTGCAAGGCAATTACCGGCCACAGTGGCCAATGGCTATGATGGCCAATATCCATAGAACGAATCACAATAAATGGTTATGGGGAAAATCGTGGCATTTCAGGGGGAAAACCCTCACGATTTGCATGCATAAACAAGGATCATCGAAGAGCTAAGCATTATTTACTGTACCAACAGCAGCCGGACTTGGGCGGACAATAATGCCATTGACTGGCTTAGGGCCAGCAGCAGCAGCAGCTGAACCCTCAGGACATACCAATTTGAGGGCCAGGACAATGGCAAAAACATTTAAATGCGAATAAAGTAAAGTTGCCTTCGAGCCGGGGCGATAAGCGGCATCTTTATTGTTTATTAGAAATGATTATTATTAATATTCTCTCGCACAATGAGAATTTAGTTAAGCGACAGAGTGTGCGACGCTCGTTTTCCACGCACTAATTTCTCATTTCCCTGGGCACTTAATGAGTTTTCCCCCAGGTGTCCTGAGGCAGATTAACAGATTGTCACCATGGGTCTTAAAAATCCAGCCTGGTCAAAGGACATTTTCCCCTCGAATGTTACTCAAACTCAATAAGAAAATATGTCAAGCTGGTTGGTAGAACAACGCTTAAGCTGCCACGTAACCCCACTACCTTCGGTGGGGATTTTTCATATTTTTCCTGAGGTTTAGAAACTTGGCTGCCAACTTTCTTCCGCTTTCCATTAATTTTTTTTTTTCCTTTGCCACGCTTACTAAGTGCATTTTAATTTGTCTTTTATGAAGATGGTAGTTTGGATCCTGGTCACCATATTTTTTTACTCTTCATTGTGCCGTGCATATTTTCCGCAGCTCGCTTTTCTCCGGCCATCGTCACTGTCAGTGCAGCAAATTACAACAAATTAAATTTTCCAACTTGCCCTTTGCCCTTCCTGCCAGACGCAAGAGACAGGTGATTATGCATATTTTAAATGGTCAGCTTCCATCAACTGAGAGCGCTCTCTTTTGATGTTACACTCTAAAAAAAAAAGCAGTTGAGATTAAAGAAAATTTATAAAAAATTAGGAGAAGCGTAAGTAATTTTTTAACTTGGTTAAGAGGTATTTTTTAGGCCAAGAAATTACTTAATTGGAAAGCGCTGATTCAGCAAAAATAAATTCTATTTCAAAGTATATTTCAAGGATTTTTTATGGGAAATTTTGTATAGTTATTACTTGAATTTTGTTAAATTTCCCTTTAAACAATTATCATAATTTGTTTCAAAATTTATTAGTTTCATTTCCTTAAATTCCTTTTCCATTTCAACTATTTTTATAATTAATTTTACATTTATTACTATAATTTCTTCAACTTCCCTATTTTTCACAGTGCACTTTACTGTCGCTTTCTGGTCATGTCAAAGCCTTTTTTAATGGCCAATGAGTTGGCGTGAAATCGGTTAAGCCAAAAGCCTTTTGGCTGAAAACGAGCGAACGAACAAACACGTTTTTTGATATTGAACAGATGAAAAGCGGCAAATAAATTTATTATTTGCCTTGGCCACTCGATTTGTTATTGGTTCTGCCATCGCCCTGAAATTTTGATTACATTTTTTCCAGCTTTCCGTTTGCGATTCTGACAGTCGTGCCATAATTGATTAATCATCGTCAGCACTGGACACACTTTTCTGACGCTTTTCTGCTCGCCTTCCCCCCCAAAAAATTATAAACTATTTTCTCATTGTATATTTTGGCTGGGAGCAGGAGCGAGCCAAATGCCAAATAAACGAAACGAAAGATAAAAGCGAAAAAATGGGAAATGCATAATTATGAATTAGTTATTGCCCATTAGCTGGCTGGCAGAGAAAAGCGAAGGAAAAACGGGTGGGGTGGGGGAAAAGCTGGCCAGCGCTTTGAGGAAACTAAAAACGGAAGCAAAAAACAGTGCCAAATTGTCTGTCTGCGTGGCGTTCAAGTCAATTAGACAGTGAGCTTGAAAAATTGACTTACCAAATGGTTTTTTTACAATCAAGCGGAAAAGGGAGTGAGGCGAAATATTTATTTATTTATTTGTAAAACATTTAAGCTGTGGCAGCTGAAGGGATTTCTTGAGTTATGGGAAATTATAACGCCAGCCTTTGGGTAAAAAAACATAAATATATGGTTAAGCTTACATATTTTCATAAATTATTATTAAAATAAAAAACAATGTATGTATTAACATACTTATCAATATTTTTAATATTTTTAAAAATATATTACAAAATTAAAAAAAAGCGTAAATATCTATATTAATTGTATATTTTACACCTGCTATTAGAATACCTGTTTCAGCTATAGACGTACCTTTGCGTCCATTGAGTAGCGATTATCAGCAATACCGCGACCGAGCCTATCCCAACAACCTCTACTGATAAGGACCCAAAGAGAGCGAGCGGAGACTTTGCGCTCGGCGCCAAAGAGAAAGCCAACACAAGTCTCCAAAGCCCCAAGAGAGCCAACGACGAGTGCCAATCGAACACGAAGCTGCTGCTCGGCTGCCTGCCGCTGCCCTGGCTATGACGTAGTAGCCACTGCCGCCGTCGACGCAGGCTGTCGTCCTTTGGCGTCGACGCCGGCAGAGGACGTCGTCGGTCGCTGGAGCTGCTGATAAACAGTTTTCGTTTATCATCAGTTTTCAGTTTGTCGATGGCACAGCGCGCAACTGGACGTATTTTTCCCGCTTTCCCTGGCAGCCGAAATGGCCAACGGAAATGTATAGAAGATATAGCAAATAGAAAATAGAAAATGGAAAATGGATCAGCTCATCGACTGACTCGCGTGTGAGAGTGCGTGTGTGTGTGTACGCCCGTGTGTATGTGTGTATCTGTGTGTTTTTTGGCCAACTTTAAACGCTTTCTGTTATCAGCAGGAAAAAGGAGACGCGCGCGTGTGAAGCCATGAGTGGTGCTTGGTGCAAACAAAGTTTTGGCGGCATTTTCAATTAATGGCCAAAGTCAGCGAATTTTCAACATCAAATTCCATCGAGGAAAATTGAGGAGAGCAACAGCAAAAACACACACTTTTTATGGGTTTCCCCCACAAAAGAAAAATAGAAAAGCAAAAGAACACAAGCGTAAGTAGATTCCACCTTGATTTAATGAGCAAGAAAATATGGTAATTAAGGTTTTTAAATTTTTTTTCATTTAAAATAAAATTTATTAAATATGATTAAAATGTAGTAAAAAGTTTAACATTAAAATAATGAAAGAAACATACAATTTCTAAGTTAAAATAAATATTACATTCTCTATTACGAGTTTATTGATTATTATTTAAACTAAAATACTTCCAAGAGTTGTGGCTAAACATAATCAATTTTAAATTAAAATAATTACAATTTGGAAAAATTATTTATGGAATTTTTGCAACGTTTTTGAAGTAAAACTTTAGTATTCACAGATCAGCAGAGGTTCAAATGACGAAAATAAAAAGTCACCTGAGCTAAATTTTGGTAATAAAATAAACAAATGAAATGTATGTTAAATGCATTAAAAAAAAGTATTTACATTAAAAACTGTTTTAAAATTTTAGTTTATTTAAAAAAAGTGATAAAAGCTCACAAGTGATGAATGCCAAATCAGGGAAACCATATGTAAACATTTGGCAAAAATTATGGTCTGTTTGGCCAAAAGTAAACCAAACATGGGCTAAAATTAAAATAATAAAAAAATAACAGCAGTGAAAGTTAAACATAAATATTTAAATAAATGTAAACAGAGCATTTAGAAAGCAAATATATATAAAAGCAAAAATAAAACAAAAAATAAACAACAAAATGTTGGGAACAAAAAGTATGGAAAATACAATAATTTCAAATATTTAGCATAAATTAGATTATAATTTTTTAAAAGTTAAATTTAGTTCCTTTTTAAATTTCATAATCCAAAAAATTCTGAGAAAATAAGAAACCACAATAATTACTGCTCTTTTAATAACCAAACGAAATTCTAAACTGAATTAAAAAGAAAATGAAAAATAATTGAGCAAACCGAGTTAGTTAAGCTTGTAAAAGTAATTTAATAAGCCAAAGTTCCTGCGGAATTTTATACAACAAAAAGCAAAACTAGTAACAAGTTGGCTAACTCATTTTTACAAAATTAATGAGGAAACTATGTAGCAGAAAAAGAGTCAAATAACTGTGACTACAGAAACAGAAAATCAACTAGAAAATGGAAAGGTAAATATAGGGAAAAACAGACAGAATCTATTTTGTGTTTGCCAAATTTTATAATTAAAATAAAATAGTAAATATTTTGGCAAGAAAGAAAACACATATATTTTCACAATTTTGATAGTTTAAAAAACATATTTATTTTCACAAATTTAATGAGGGAAAATGTATTTATTTACCTATAATAGTTCCTGTCTTATGGGAAAATGGATAGCATAAAATTTCCATGTATATTTGATTGGCTGTTGCGTCGGCATAATTCATTCCACGAAATGTTTCCATTATGCTCTCTGCTTTTGGTTCTTGGATCTCCAGTTTTTCCCTTCTTGGTTCTGGGAAATTGCACAACGAGCCAAACGAAGGCTGGAGAAAATTATGAAAAATGCGCTGCGACTTGAAAAGTCAAAAATTATGTAAATGCAAAGCATTTTGTGTTGCTCTATGCATGTAAACAATTTTTTGCACCATTATGCGCCATCAAGTATGCAAAGATATGTTGTGCCAGCTTCCAGCTCCAACTCCCGCCAGCTCAGCTCAGGAGGGATATCTATTTGAAGGGATCTAAGGGTTTCTGAGAGGAGAAGCTGAAACAGGAGCAGGACGACAGGTAGTCACTCACCTGACTGCGGGCGGCTTTTGACATGCCAGCCAACGTGTAGAACATCAGAATGTTTAGATTTATGTGAGCCAGTGACAGCTGCAGGCAAAGATTCGGATAGGGATTGAAAGCAGGCTGGCTGAGCAGGCAAGGATGTGGCCCCTTAAGCTGCTCCTGCCTGCTTGTGCCTCTGCCTCTGCCTGCTAATCCTTCAAACTGTGCAAATCACTTTTGGCAGTTCCGCTGCTCGTTCTGGCCCAAAAGTTGAAAGTTTTCTGTGATGTAATCGCATTTGCTTCGCCTGTCTCTTTAATTAAATTTAAGAGACTGACAAAAAAAAATATACGTAGAACCTAGCAGAGCAGAGAGGCTGTTCTTCCCGGAGCGTGCAATATTTAACTTTCGAGTTTTGCATTCAATTCACGCACCAAAACTTGGCCAACACACACGCATATATGTACAAATTCCGGGCCTGGTTTTTACTGTGAGCTGGCCAAATCCCCGGCATGCTTTTAGTAGACAAAATATGCGCCTTTGGCGCTAAGTTTTTCTGGGGCGACATTTGTTACTTTCATTTACGCACAAGCAACTTACAGGGAAAGAAAAATATACTTTTTTAATTTAAGAAGAATTTATTTTTAAAGATTTTTGTTTGGGAAAGTTTGGTTTATAAGCCTAGAAAATATTTGTTAATATTTTTTGCCAAATCATTGCCTATTTCATCAGTTTTATCAGTCATTGTGACGTCATTAGATATTGCTTTGATATCGATTTGTTGCCAAGTTATTTTGTTATCTTATATAGACGTAACGTAGAGAGGCAGACATCTCTCAATTCTTATCAAAAATTACCATACTTGATAATGAATCCTTTAGCTATTAAGTTATTATTAATTTTGTATTATTATTTATTATTTATTTATTAGTTTTATGATATTTATTTAAGAAATTAACGTTTTATATTTATATTTATCATTCATCTATTAACATATCCATTTATTTCTAAATTTTTATAAATTTTATTTATAAAATATTAAAGCCTAATCAAAATGTTTCTCTCTGTGCAAAAGTATCTCCTTGAACCGCCCAGATAAAAGCTATTTGGAGACAGAAATTCAGCAAGAGGATGACCAATTTGGGTGCCATTTTTTTCGGGCTGTGCATTGGCACTCCCCGTGGCAAATAAGATTAACGTTACCCACTGACTCCTCCAGAGGCTCAAAGTAGTAGTGAGCCAGCCCTTCCAGCCTCATAAAACGCATATAGAGAACGGAGAGACTGAGGAGCAAACCCAAAATACCAATGCCAGGATAAATATAAAGAACAGCCAACGAGGCGCACACACATGCCCGAGGTGTTTCATTCATCATCAAGTGGCAAAGTGGCACGTTCCGCTCTCCATTTCCAGCAGCCAAGAGAAGCAGGCTTTATGTGCAACTTTTCCTATATTATGCGAACAATGTTTGAAACTTTGGCTGGCTTTCGAGGCTTCGGGTCGCAAATCTAATGCACAGGCCCTAGGGTCCTCTCACCATGACGATCCCTTCCACTCGGTGTCCATAATTTAGGGTTTAAAATTTTTTATTGCCTACATTTTGGGCGTCGCCAGGCGAGTCGGGGTTTTTATGAGTCCCGTCCGAAGTGAGCTGCATTAATCCCCTGCAGCCATCAAATGACGAGCGGTGGGCCACGTGCTGCGGCATAAATTAAACAATTGGCCAACGGAGCGCCATGTGTTTGACCAGTGGCGAATATTAAGTATACGCCGTGGTGTGCCCTCGAAATTACGCATACGACGCAGAGAGTGAGACAGAGAATGAAAGACGAAAATAAGAAGAAATCCAGGACAAAGTTTAGCCTAAGACGCGGTCCTTGGAATTGTTTAATATTAAATTCGCCACTGACCCAGAAACTTTTAAGCAGCTTAAATGTTAATTAATTTCGAGAAAGAAAAAACAACAAATGGTAATGGAACTGTCAACGGAATTTTACAGCCTACAAATGTACAAAATATACATATATATATCTGTGAGCACCTCATCCGACTCCATTAACATTTAATTTCGGGAGCCACTTCAACTTGGAAATAAATTACAATCAAATGGCAGCCGCCGCCAGCCAGGGAAATGTGCGGCCACAGCAGTAAAGTTTAATATTTCTCTTTGCCTTTAAAAGCGGCAGCAACAGGAATTATTAAAAAATTGTGCAATAAAGGGGGAAAGGACAAGGACAGGGACAGGGATGGGAATGGGAATGGTTACAGAAGGTCCTGTGAGTGACGGGTGAAGCGAGACGAAGCGCAGACATTAACCTGATGCGAAAACCGGCAACAGCAGCCGAAAAATGTTTAGTCGTAAACATATTAAAAGCTACTTTGCATAAACTTGGCCCGTCAAGGATTCCTCCTTCTTGAATATATATATTTTTAAGGTGGAGTTGGGGTCACATTGCCATTTGCGATTTATTGAAAAGGGAAAAGCAAACGGCAGCAAACGGCAAAAACCCATAAAAAGCCCAGCAAGAAAAAGGGGGAAAATTCTGGGGAACAACAAAAGCAAAGCTAAGAACTCTGACGACCTGACGACGACGAGTTGACGACCGTGGAAAATGGCAGGTAGAAAGGGAAAAATCGCTGGAAATTCTCCCAAAACCCCGCTCACCATTCATTCACTCTTTATTAGGCCGACGTCTGGTTAAAGGCTTCATTAAAAACACATTTCCTGCACAAATGTTGGCCCTCCCCCCCAAAATGCACCAAAAAAGGAAAAATAATATTAAGAAGAAAACAAGAAATAGGAAAAGGGACTCAGCGAATATATTTTGCATTTGAAAGGCAGCTGTCAGGGCAGCAAAACAAACTCAACTGACACCAGAATGCGAATTTGTATGCCAACCCGACTATACAAGTGGCAAAAACGATATTAAATTCCAGCGAGTATCGATGAAGGAAAAATATTTTCCTCTAGCTTGGAAAATTGCAATACTACCAAGACATTGAACTATTTTTTCTAGATTTTTGTTGTAAAGAAAAGGAATTTGTAATAGCAAATAATTGAGGGTAGCTCCAAGGAGCTGGAAACCGTAGCTACGTTTTTATACATATTTCAGTCAATTTTTATAACTGAAATCTAACCAAGTAGAACTAATATAAAACACAAGAAATTCTCTTTAAATTATGTTTATAAAAAAGACTTTAATCTAGTCAAGGGACACCAAATAAATTCCAACAAGAGCTTATAGTGCCAAGTCCAAGAATGGAGTACAGCTCTTCTCTTTCTCAAAATTGACTTTAAAGCATGCTCTGC